GCACACGGCCTGGCGCACAGTGCAGGACGGCGGGTATTTATTGAATGACTGACCCATGAAAAACATTTTAAAAGTATGGTCTGGCTTCCTCCTTCTACTGGTTCAATTTATGGCTGTTTTCTCCCACCCAAAGCCAGGATGTGCTCAGATATTATAAGCCAATTTTCATATTAGCTTAGAAAAACATAGCTAGGATGAAACTTGTTGCCAACCTAAAGAGGTACATACAGTTTCCTTTTATGAGAACAATGTGTCTCTTTGAAATGAACAGTTGATAAGCTGCGTGGAGTAAGGGGTGAGACTCCAAGGAGTATGTCCAAATAGCAAACGGCCACAGATCAGTCCTCGGAATCAGGGGGCCAGCTGCTAACCACAGCCATTGGTCTCAGTGGGCTCCTGAGGCGCTTGGCCATGTGCACATGGAGGTCGATGCTGAGGCAGAATGCCAGAGAAGAGACATTTCAAGTTCAGGGGAATGTCTAGCAGCAAGAATGAGCAGTCAGCAAGGCCTGTGTGTGTGTGTGTGTGTGTGTGTGTGTGTGTGTGCATGTGAGGACACAGGCGCATACACGTTGGATAAAAAAGATAGGTGGACAGATACCCCTGAACTGGTGTGATAACAGAAAAGGCTCTGGAGAAGAGAAGTATCAAGCGAGAATAAAGTCTGCTGCAGCCTGGGAGAGGAACTTCCCTTTCCCACTCTCCCCCTGTGAGTTTCAACAACTTTCCTGTTGCAAAGCAGGATCAGAGCAGCAGTGCACCCTTGGTCTAGGGCAGGGATTTCCACCTGGGTGCTGCAAGGATTTTTGAAACATGCACTATCTGACTACTGAGTCAGGCACTGACCTCTTTTCCCTTAGGTTGTCGAATTAAAAAATGACAACAGCCAACACAACAATAGTTGCTTGGTGTGAATACATCAAAATTATACCTATTCTTTTGGTCAGATCAGCAAAAAATACATGTTTTGGTGTGCTTCAGAATTGTAATAACTAGTTTATGTGTGCCACGAGATGAAAAGGTTGAAAACTGCTGGTCTAGGATTCATGGTCCACTGGAGGTCAGAGGGCCGGTCTCAGGCTCACTTCAAACTACTTTAGAAGAATGGTCCATTTCGCCTTGTACCTGTAGTTGTTGAAGTTCATATTTATGTTCCTTCCATCTGGTTCATCACCCATTACAGCACATTATTCACTGTTGTTAACCAACCCGCTCTCCCTCCTGATGTCCCCTGTGGTGGTGACCCCTGGGTTACCCTCCCGGACACAGTACTTCCTCCGGAGACAAGCCCATCAACACAACCTGCTTAGTGTAAACATGGAAAAAAGGCTACTCTGGGGATTACAGTATCTAGAACATTTACATCATCAAGTTTAAAAGTTAAATATTAGGATAGATTAATTTTAGCTTTATAGTCCACATTAAAATAATGAAAGAGCCCTGGCTGGTTTGGCTCAGCGGTTAGAGTGTCCACCTGTGGTCCGGAGAGACCCGGGTTCAGTTCCCGCTAAGGGCACGTACCTCGGTTGCAGTTTGTCCCCGGCCCTGGTTGGTCGTGCGGGTGGCAGCCACTCGATGTGTCCCTTTCACATCGATGTTTTCCTCTCTCTCTCTTTCTCTCTCTCCCTCCCACTCTATCTGTACAAAAAATGGAAAAATGTCCTCGGGTGAGGATAAAAAAATAATAATAATAATGAAAGAGCACTTTCAATGGTAAATGCTAATACTACTCTTTTCTCCAGGGAAACAGTCTCCTGCAGGTAACTGCACCTCATCAGGCTCAAAGGTGACACACACAAATTGTTTCTATGACAAACACATACACAGTGTAACAAGTTCTACGATGGAGACCTTGGCTAAGGCACGACCTCCGGGGACCTTGCTTCCAGCCCTCACAAGAGAGTCCACGTTTGGCCACTTTCTCTGTATCACACCTTAAGTTGTATCCAATGTTTTCTAGCTAGAATTGAGATCTGGACATACTTAATTCTTTTGCATATTTCAGGCAAATACATGGAAAGTAAAGGAATATTTGCTGAGCACCCGTGAAGTACCAGGTCTGCTTTCTCATATACCCAATTCCTGTTTTTACTGCAAAGTATATATTGTTACCCCCACTGTAGACTAGTCAGGTCAGAACGTTATTTCATACTTATTTATAATTAACCAAGTTCAGTGACAGTCAGGATATTATTTTAGTTGTAAAACCTATATAACTTCATGCTTTTTCTAATTCACTATAATGCCTCTTGAACAAAATCTTTGCAAATGTAAGACTTTAATTTATAAAAAGAGAATTAGACTATAGCTATTTCTCTAATATTGTATCTGGCAAGTTATATAACCTTATTCAATTTTAAGGGCTGATTTCCATCTGTACCTGAGGTACTGTCATCCATATCCCTCAGAAAGCAGCCGGTAGTTCTAACAATAGCAGTCGATACTTCCTGTCTGTACCAGGCACCGTGCTGGGCACTTTACCGGTTATTTTGTTTAATGCTAACAACCGTTCCTGCAAGGCAGGTAGTACCTCTGCTTTATTCACGGAGGACACTGAGGCTAAGAGGAAACACGTGGGAGGGAGGGAGTCGGGAACCAGTCCAGTCCTGACTGTGCCAGTCCATGCCCCCAGCCTTCCAAGTACCTTAAATTCACAGAAATCATTACCTTTTGTTACCATGTGAATAATAGTAATAGTCCAAAAATTTTTCTCAAATTACAAATTACAAAGGCATGGGAAGGAGAGAAATGAAGCTATGAACAGCCACTAACCCACCAGGCCCCAAGGGCACACTCCTGCACGCTGCACCCAGGGGTCTCTCCAGCTACAGCCACACAGAAGAGCAGCAGCAGCAGCAGCAGCAGCAGCAGCAGCAGCAGCACAGAACAAACGAGCTCCGACTTCCCACACTTGGCTTGTATACAAGTGACGCTTGAATAAGCAGCACGACTCCCCTAAAAAGCTTTCCCGAAGCTGGTCGGCCTCTCGTGTGTCCCGATAGCCTCCCGGTACTGCCTGCTCTTTAGCAGTTCAATTTCACAGCATCGCCGAGTCTGACAACTCTATTAGGTTCTTTTATTATGTTCTCCCATTATAAAAAAGTCATTATGCATAAGCAAAAGTCCTGATTATAATTCAGTTCAGCCAACGACTGAAGTCCCCAAAGTGCATTTACCCTCAACTGCACTTTGGCTAGCTGCCTGGCTGTCCATCCATGAAGAAAAATAAGAGAGAAAAACAAGTACAAAGTATTAGCAATGCATCACCAAGTATTGGATCCGGAGGGTGAGCTGTAATAATCATGTAAAAGTATGTTTTTCTCTCTACCAATGACACTCCCGGAGAGCACATACGTAGGGTATTCACCTCCCACGCGTGTCTGTAAGCACGGGTGCTTTTGTGTGTGTCGGTGAGGGAAAGCTTTATGATGAGAAGTGAGAAGCAAAAAAATATACAGTAGATCTAACTCTTCTGTGCCATGAATTTTAAAAATGATTTTGAAAATAGAAAATTGCGTATTACCCTCCATCCCAAAAGTCCATTGGGATCAAAGTGTTCTCTGCATTTATAGTGGGTTTTAGTCCAATTGCTTAATGTCAATATTCATGAATAAAAAAAGTATAAAAAATTTAACCATAAGTTTTATATGTATATGTTTTTATTGATTTTTTAAGAGAAAGGTGGAGATAGAAACATTGACGTAAAAGAGAAACATGAATCGGCTCCCTCCTGCACACCACCTACTGGGGATTGAACCAAAAACCTGGGTGTTTGCCTTGACCTGGAATCAAACCAGGACTTCTCAGTCCACAGGATGACACCCAATCCACTGAGCCACAATGGCTGGGCTAACCAGAAGCTTTCGATCAAAATCTTTACAATTCCTAAGAGCATCTCCCCATTACATTATTAATGATCATCATAAGAGATTTTAAAAGGTTGTTTTGTGTCCCCAGAAATAGGGTTTTGAGTAAGGGGATTAAGAGACAACGTATTTGTCCCAAACTGCCCATTTCAAGCCCTACCAATTATAATAAAAGAATAGTGGTTCTAGTTACCACACCCGAAAGCCTAAGAAATCCTCAATTCTGCCCTAACACTAGGCATGGGACAGCTGGCGAGGCACGCCCCTGGGCAGCCCTCGGACAAAACCCGTGCGCTCAGTTACATGTGAATCGAGGCAAGGGCTGTTCCCTCCCTGGTAACAACCAATGTCCTTTCACTTTCAGGTTAAGACAGTGTTCCCTGGGTTCACTGGCATAAGTTATGTCTTAGATTGATTTAGGTAATGAATTATTATTGCATCAACTGACTACTCAGGTGACCCGAGTGTTTCCAAGAATCACTTCAGTCTAATGAGTAAATAATTGCCCTAGATGGAGTTCATCTGTTACTGAGCCCCCTGCCCCATTGATCCACTTTCAGTGGATCCCCACCCCCACCCCAGGAGACATTTTGCAATATCTGGAGATATTTTTGGTTGTCACACTGGGGGATGGGGGCTGCTATTGGCATCTAGTTGCTATTTGAGTTAGAGGCCAGGGATGCTGCTAATCATCGTGCAGCCCACAGGAGAGCCCAGTGTCACAGTGCGAGTGGGGGAAACCTCGAGTTAATGTGCAGTGAGGATCCTGGGGTACTGCTACGGTAGGAAACACGTCATGAAAGACAATGAAACATGGCCATTGTCCTGGTAGAGCTCGTAATCGCAGAAGATAAACGGGTGGGCAAAAGTAGGTTAAATTACCAGCCATAATTATCTAAAAGACAAATCATAAGAATTCAAAATAACAACAATAAGACAAATAATACAAATAAATAATACAATTAATAAATAATAATACAAGAATAAACTGTTCTGCATACTCACAACAGTAAACTTACTTTGCCCACACCGTATGAAATTTTTTTCATCCAGAGTCCACACGATACTTATATTTAAATACTTTATTTTCATTTCACACAAAAAAAGCAACAGTGTTTGCAGTACACATGCCTTTCAGTCAGTGCTGGTCATATGCAAAACAAGCTATCAGAAGTATAAAGAAAATAAAGCCTTTTTCCCTTTACAAGCAACAACACAATCTGCATATATAATGTTATATATACACATACTATTTTCAAAATCTTCCACAAAAGACAGATTCTGATATAAATTTAGAATTCCACCCACAAGCTCAGATTCCAGAATCGGAGATCTCCATAGGTGTTTAAATACAAAACTGTAATACCTCTACAAGTTTCCAAGTCCAAAGGGTTTGAAAGAGACTATTCTTCACAGCAACACAGAACACTTGGCTTGAGTCAAGACAGCTGTAAGACTCAGTTTTGTCTCAATGTGAGTTTTGTTGATTAATGCAAATGCTCCAATTATAATGTGATTCTCATTACACACACACACGCACACATGGGTGTATTATTGTACTGATGGTTTATACAGTTCAACTTCTGGAGCATTTCAGTCAGCTAAGCCATGACCTTTACTTTCTTTGAAGTACTTTAAATTAAAAACTGTTCAGAAATATCACTGACTACCATGACTAACTCTAAAAAGGTGCCCCCTTCTCTTTTATTTATGATCAAAGTTAAATGTGTAATGAATAGGCTCTCATTTTTTCTACAGCAGCAGGTATAAGTAACAGCAAAGTATAGGCTAATTTTTCAACACTAGAACCTGAGAGTTTGATATGGTAAATAACATCTCTAAAACTTTTCTAGGAGTCCTATTACTTAATGTTTCTAAAAAAGTAATAATAATATGGCAAATCTTCACCATTATATTCATTATAAATCATACAACCAATGATGCTCAGAAGCTCAAAGGAAGGAAGCAAGGGAGGAAGAAAGGGAGGAAGAGGGGGGTGGAGGGATGGATCTTACACGTTTTCTTTGATCAGACAACTATGGAGTCATAATATTTACTATGAAGAGGATGTAGAGTCAATGTGATTATGATTTGAGAATGCTGAAAGTGAACATACAGGCCTGGATGTATGAAATGCATGCAGAAACATACAGCTGACGAGGCGACGCTGGCTTACACTTTTTAGTGCACTTGAAGATACCATCTAATGGTGCAGGCACTGAAGAAAAGAAGGAAAAGGAACAGGAATGGTCCAGCTAGTGCAGAACTGAGGAGGGAGAGCCTGCCACACCAGAGCGCTGGGTAGGAAAAGGACCGATCTGCCCCACCATATACATGCGGGTGTTGAAAGATAGAAGGTCTTGTCCCCCAAATTCTTTTTGGATTAGTTTTTGAACCTGTTTTGTCATTCATTAGAACCATGGCAATAACTCAAAAGTTTCACTTAAGAAAAAATAAAAAGAAATGTCACTGGGTACACAAGAATATGCTATTGATGGAACTGCAACGGACTTCTATAGATGAATCAGAATTCCAATCCTCAAAGGAAGTTCTTCTCAAGGGGCTTTAATTGGCTTACCAGTCACTGAAAAATTAATCAGCAACAAACTTTAAATATACTTTTTATTTAGTATTGTCCTCTTGCCTTTCTGGAATTTCCAGAGTTCAGGGCCCTTCCCAGCATTTCGTTCGGTCTGAACCAGCATAGGAAAGCTGGACATGATCAGCTTTCACAGCCATATCCAAGTGTCTTTCCCACCTCACTGGCCACATGCCCATGGCCACTAGTGACATCACCACAGTGCAGCACCTTCAAGGCACACAGCAGAGACTTGGTGGAACTTTATTTTGCTAGGTACATTCAGAGCTCTCTAAGGGACTAAGAAGTAAAGGAAGTTTATTTTAAAAAGAAAATTATGTAAGTATGTATATATTTACATCTTTAAAGGCATATATGCTAGAGAATACAACAAACTAACCACAAAATAACTGTACTAGCTCCTGCTAAATGAGGAAGTAAGCAGGAAAGAGGAAATGATCTGTCGATTCATGAAACTCAATTTTCATTAGGTCCCTAAATAGCCATGCAAAGAACTAGATACAAATGAAATAACAAAGAAATAAAAACATATTTATATGTATTAAAAATATTCCCCTGCTAAAAATATAAATCCCCCCAAAACAAACAAGTCAGTAAACAACATACAACTACTCTAGTCACTAATGCCTACACAGGCAATAAGGGCCAGGGAGAGGGGAGATGTCATACACCGATCCTAAGTTTTCACTGGATACCTATACATCCATGCAAAGGGCTAGGTACAAAATCATTAACATGTACGTGTGTGTGTGTGTGTGTGTGTGTGTGTATAAATAACATGTACATATTTATATATTAATGTCCATACCCTGTCCTTTTCCCATAACCCTACCCACCCAAATAATCCCTCCTGGTAAAAAACAAAACAAAACCCAAATGATAAAATTATTGCCTGTGCCGGCAGTGAGGGAAGGGGGCAGAAGAGATTTATCATAGGTCTGGACCTCCATGCTTCATTGTGTACCTACAAGTCCCATCAAAGGACTGAGTACTAAATGAAATAATACACAAATGTAGCGAACATTTATATACATTAAAAATACACCCATATGCATAGACCTCCCCCACCCCCCTCCCTCTCCAAAAAAAGCAACCAAACATTTATTCTTCTACCATTGCCCACCAGGCAATGAGGGAAAGGGCACAGGGGAGATATTTCATAGAATCAATCTCAACTTTCATTAGGTACCTAAATAGTCATGCAAAGAGCTAGATTCAAAATGAAGTGAACACAAAGAGACAAAACAGTTATATATAATTTAAAAACTACATATCATGCCTAACAAGCCAATTCCTTACTAAAACCTCAAAAAACAAACAAACAAAAACCTCAAGCCCTATAGTATTCTGACATTACTGCCCATGAACACAGGCTACCGGGTAACAGAAAAGATGTACCCCTCCTCTGAATCTGGGCCTCTGTACTGCACTGGATATCTGCAAGTCCAAACAGAAAACCGGGTTTGGAGGGAAAGAACAAAAAAGGAGCAAACATTGATATACATTTAAAAAATGAAAATCCAGAAATTCCTTATAACACTGCCAAAACAACAAACAAACAAACAAAACCCCCCAAACCTCTAAACAACTGTCACTAGTCATTGCCTAGATAGGCAATAAGGGAAGGGGAGAAGAGGAAATGTTTTTCATAGAATGAACCTTAATTTTCATCATGTACCTAAAGTGTCCATAGAAAGGTCTAGGTACAAAATGAAATAACAAAAAAGAAAACACATTTATATACATTTTTAAAAGTACATATCACTACCCTCTCAGGGGAAGGAGTGGTAGAGTGAAAAGTAATCTAGACTACTCTAAAACTATTGCCCGCAGAGGCAGTAGGAAAGGGGAAAGAGGAGATTTTCATACATCCGGACCTCCACATCTCATTAGTACCTACACGTCCCAGTAAGGGACGGGGCACAGAATGCAATAACACAATATAGTCACAAACACTGTATATACAGTTTTAAAAAGGATATATGTAGCCCTTAGTCCATTCCCATCCCCCAGAACTTAAAAAAACCCAAACTACTTTAAAATTATTGCCTACAAAGATAAAAGAGGAAAGGGAGAATAGGAGATTGCTATACATCCAGAGCTCCATGGTTCATTAGGAACCTACGCGTCCAAGTGATGGACTGGGCACCCAATGAAAACTATAATAAAAAAGTAAAAAGTATTTATCCCAATACCCACAAAAGAACCCTGAAACTAATCAAGTACTCGAACAGCCATTGCCCACATCGGCAATACGGGAAGGGGAGAAGAGGAGACTGTTATACATATGGACCTCCATGGGTCATTAGGTACTTTCCAGTCAGGGCACCCAATGAAATAACACAACAAAGTAGTAAAAACAGGTATATACAGTAAGTACACATCCCTGCCTGCCTTTCTCTACCCCCTAAATCCACTCCAACAACTGCACCACACAGGCAATAAGGGAAGGGGACCACAGGAGACTGTCATACATCCGGACCTCCGCATCTCATTAGATACTTAAACATCCTATGAGGACACTGTATAAAATGAATTAATAATACAAAGTAGTAGCAAATTTATTTATATACATTAAGTACATACCTCAGTCTCTCCTACACCACCAAACAAAACAAACTACTCTATTAGCTACTGTCCAAAGAGGCAATAAGGAAAAGAGGAAATCTATCATTCTCTGAACCTCAATTTTCATTAAGTACCTATGCAGCCATGCAAAGGAACATGTATAAAATGAAGTATAAATAAGTAGTATAACATTTATATACACTTGAAAGAATGATACAGATCTCCCCCTACACCTAAGATGAGATCAAAACAACAACTGTTCTATCGGTTATTGTCCATGTAGGCAGTAAGGAGAGGAGTAAACAGGACATCTGTCCTTCTTCTGGGCCTCTATGGTTCATTAGATACCTTCATATCCATGAGATGGATGAATGAAATACAAAAGGAAACAACACCCACAAAATAGCAGCAAAAACATTTGTACACATTTTTAAAAGAACATACTCTGCTCTCCTCCCAATATTACCACCTCCTTCCGAAACAGGAAATAAAAAACTACTCTATAGCTGTTGTCCACAGACAATGGGAAGACAGAAGAGATTTTCATGGACAATATTTCACTTTTCATCAGGACGAAATATACAAAGTGAAAGAATATAAAAACACATCAAAAACACATATGTACACTTTCAAAGTATATATCCCCCAAAAGCTGCTGAAAGAAATCAGTCAACTATTCTACCAGCGATTGCCCATGTGGCAACAAGGGAAAGGGATAAGAGGAGATTTATCATACTTTTGGACCTCCACTTTTCATTTGGTACTTACTTGCCAATGTAGAGAATGAAGCACACAATAAAATAATGCAAAAAACCAGCAAAAATCATACATTGTTTTAAAAAATACAGATGGGGGTATGGGAAAACTCTTTAAAAAGAGAATTAATTCCAATAAAAACAAAGGCAAAGGGGTGAAGAGCTACCTCATACCTAGGAAATTCCGGTCTCGTTCTGCAAACTTAGCCCAGGAACGGCCGTGCTTGCTGACGAACATCTCCTGAGATGCATGGGTTCCCTGAAGCCCCATGAAATGCACAGGGATTATGTGAACAGTCAGCAATCTGACTGCAGATGATGGTTCCAGGTGCTTTAGTCTGAGTATACTCTTAAAATCCAACTCAGTAACAGGCTATCTGTTAGTTTCATTTCTTACTTTCCAATACTCAGAAAGGGTTCTATTCTGTACCCAGTAAGGCTGATGCAGCTCAACATCCTCTGCGTACCCAGGGCTCTTAAGCTGGCTCTTTTGTTCCTCCAGTGGCTAAATACAGTACAATGAAAACGTGAATGGCAAAGAATATTACTTCAGTGGAACCTGTGATACTAAGAAAGTTCATGAACACTGAAACAATGCAAAGAACAGAATTTCACTTACAGAGATTGACATAAAACAGTAAGATGGAGGAAGGTGCAGGCTTATGGTGGAGGCCGACATTCCTTGCAGTTTAATATATCCAATCACTTCATATTAACAGAACAAACTGGACTCCTTAGATTTCTACTTTCATAGCCTTTCAGATCTGCAAACCATATTTTGTGTTTCCTCAATTCCAGATATCCCATTCTACCTTTCCTAAGAGTCTACACATGTCTTATATTACATTCAGTAGGCTGTCTCTTGGCGATGAATATACTTGTCAAACAAGCACTTAGTTGCACCGTGGACCTCTGTGCTTACACTGATAGGCACCCTGTGACCGACTGCTGTGCTGCAAGCTGGCTGAGTTCTCACAGATGCAGTGGCGAAGACAAAGTTTTGGGGGAAAAAGTCTTCAAAAGCTACAATTATATTTATTTATTATTATACTACATGTTTTACCTATTACTTAACCTTATGTTCTTGACTTAATTTAGTTCATAGACATCTCTTACAGGTGGGTTAGCATAATACTGAAAATTATGGAACTCTGTGGGAAAATCTGAGGTAAGACCTACTAAAACTGCAAATAATCTGAGGTGAGGCCCACAAATACAAGTACAAGCGGTACGGATCAGTTTCATGGGAATGAACAGCTTTTGAGCACAAAGATAGCAATGGATTATGAGTCACCTCTTTTTTAGCTGAAGTTTTGATAAGGTTTTACTTATAATAATAACACCCCTCACTCCACACACACACACACACACACTCACAGGAAAAATGATGTGATTCCAGACAAGATTTGCCATATGCAGAGTTAACATGTGTTATAGGAGCAATGTCAAGATGGGCAGGTAAAACTGAAGCATCTTAACTGATTTTGAGAAGTAGCAAAATTTAAACTCTGTATCAAAGTGGAATTCAGTAATATAACATGGTAAAAAACCAGCAACAAAAAAACCCTCAAAAGTTGAGTATTTTTCCCCACACTAAAAATATAAAAACTCACTTTCATTATCAACTAAATTATCATTCATTTACTGAAGCACAAAAGGAATAGACCTACAATTACCCCAGTTTCAAGAAGACATCTTTAGGTGATGCTGTGATTCTCAGGATATAGTATTTTCTACTCTAAAACAGAGATAAATGTTTAGAAAAGACTAAATAGGGTGAAAACACACAGAAGTAAAGAAGGCTATCTTTCAGCTTGCCAGCCTTTTAAATTTTGTTATATAAAAATATTTTCATAAAATAAAATATAATTTTATACACAATTCCACATATTTTCACTTTACACTTGCTGAATAAAAAATGGTGACCTTTCCCATTGTCTAATTCTGTGGAGTGTTTTTAAGTGCTTGCAAATAGGTAATTACCTTTTTTTGTACACAGAAGATGTTTTCAAACAAAGTATAAAGTACAAGAATTATTAGGAAGAAAGCTTTCCTCCTAAAAATCAAAGAAATACAACAATCTAGGTATAAGTCCGCAGAGCTCAAAAAATTCAAGTACAGTATTTCTCCTTTAGGAGTAAAAATGCCATACAGTTTTGACTTCTTTCTTTCTTTCTTTCTTTGGACCTTCCTTTTAATCTGTTAGTTTGGCCATGATAAAACAAAGCTATGATTTTTCAACTAAAGAAAAGTACTGTATTTGATAGTAGAAAAAATTCAAAGCCCACCATATTAAACCTGAATTAAGTTACTCCTATCTCACATTCTCTCATTCCTTTAAGGTACTATGGTGAACTTCAAACAAAAATGTTCAATTTCTCAAAGGCCCTGCTTTAAAATGTTTCTAATGTGCTACTCTAACACATAAAATGAAAATCTACACATGGGTATGATTTAGAGAGAAGGTGTCTATTATCTGTCATGCCAAAAGGCATTTGAAACAACCTATATTTTTAGTAACAGTGGTAAAGTCATGATAAAAGACATTAGGACTAACAAAAATGTTTTCCATAACTGTGGAAATACTTATTTATAACATAAAGTATATTTATGGCAGAGAGTGATAAAGATGTACAGATTTGGAGAATATTGAAATTTATGAATAAAATAAGGATAATTAAAGCTATTGGTTCGAAACATTTTCCTAAAAGATGAAAAAGAAAATGTTAAACACTGGGGAAATTGAATCTTTTGGCCTTGTTATTTAGCTTTTCAATATAACAATAATTTAAAAATTCTGTAGCACCTGGCTATTATGCAGAAAAAAATATAATAGTTATAGATCTTGTTTAGAAAATTTCCAGGAAATAAAGGATTAATCAAAATCCCAACTCAAAGTAGATCTGCACACCTGAGATTAGCTCTCTACAGTCGCAGGCTTCATCGACTTCATTGCCATACTTTTGAAGCTGTTCCCAAATTCAGTATCATCTATCATCAAGAAGCAACAACTGGCTCATGAGCCAGCAGCCTGCAAAGATGGTGCCTCCCATGGTAGCTCTTTCCTTGTTTCACTGGGTCAGTACTTTATGGGTACTGAGAAATAGAACAAAATTCCAAAACAGATTTTATTCCCCATTTGGGTATCTTCAAAATAGAAAAAATATTTATTGTTTTTGTAGATGGTTGGCATACAGGTAAATATAATTTTGTAATAAATATGTACTGCCCAAAGACATTTCAGGAAAGACCAATGAAAAATACAGACAGGCCCTGAGCTAACTAGAACTCCTAAGAGTGCACACAACTCAGCAGCGATTGTTGGCTTCATCTTGGCTTTTGCAAAAGTTAACAAGCAGAGCCCAAGTTGACAAGATCTCTGAATGGGCGACAAAATGAAGTGCCGTTGTGCATGCTACAGCCACCATGTCAGAGTTTTAAGGTTCTTCTCCATCCACTGGATATTCAAGTGAATGATTTCCAAAGCCTCCTGGACACAACGAAGCTGAAAGGTTGCCTCTGACTGACTTTCAAAGAACGTCTGGACCTGTAAGTTGCACAGAGAAATATTTCAAAAGAAGAAAAATAACAGTAAATCTCAGGTAACTCTGCCTTTTCAAATAAACTTTCACTTAGTGATGGCTGTGCTGATGTCTTGAAAGGAGTAGAGACAAGAAGTACTTTAATATCTGGGGTATTTACATTAAGTTACTGATCAAGTATGGTGAAATCTGAAGTGATTTTAAAAATGGATTCTCCTTACTCCCCCAAGGATAAACTTTGCAAATTTAAAATAAAAAAATAAAATGGCCACGTAACAGCAAGTTTGGTAGAGTCTAAAGTTAGGGATGGTGCCCAATTTTACCTTGAAGTGGCATTCTTCACAATAATGTTATTACCACTTAAAAACTTGACATATAGCAAGTTTTTTTTAATTTAAAAAGTATTTGTTTCAGGGAGACAAGGGACTATTGTTGAGAACGGAATCAGAATGTTTGCCCCTCGGAATGTTTTCTCCTTGCTGCATGTCCACCCGTTAGAAGCAGTCCAGTGCAGAGTCATTAGCACAATGACGGCAGAGGAGGGACAGGAACTGGCATGAAGAGCCACCACCTGACCTAACTAAGCAGCCTGGGGGAAAGGGATGCCCCATCTCCCTTACAAGCATTTTATACAACTAACCTCTGACAAGTGCACCTTTGTTGAAAACAGGTGAGTTGATCCAGCAACAATACTTTGAATGGTATAGGAACCGAGATGGAACCTGAAGAAACACAAATACAAGAGCAAAACAGAGAAAAAAATGAGGCAGCTAGTGGAAAGCTGGGCTCCGATGTAAAGAAAACGCTTTGCTGTGAGCTAGCTACAGACGGAAGGCGGAGCAGAGTCCCCTGCTGGGGGCCGCCGCTCAGTCCCCGGAGTGGCCCACAGGCACTTACTGCCGCTGGGAAGAAAAGGTGGGCAAAAAAAGGCAGGAGTTGGGGATAGTCAGACACATTATTAATCCATATGATCTACTGAAAAATCACATCAAACATCCACAAAATATAACTATTGCTTTAAAAGGAACAAACCTACATGTGCTGTCTACTGGTGTGAGTTCTAACCTGATCCCTTGGCAATGAAGAGGCATATTTCCACACACAAAGCTAAACAGCTGTTCCAAACAGCCCATGGCCAGGCTAAGCTAAGTGACCTGGAGCCAAGCATGGTTAGGCTCGATTCGTACTCAAATGGAACACTACTGTTATGTGACTCACATTATAGAATTATGTTTACAAATGTGAAAATTTATGGGTGTCTCAGGTAAATGTTACTGAAGCATTTTTCCTCTCACAGCAGATCATAACTCCAATGAACCAATACAACACTGGGAATGTTTCTCACAGGCAGAGAATACTAACAGCTAGGAATTCTCTGGAAACTTACTTCTGTACGAGCTTATTCCAGTTCTCTTTGACAAAATCCCATGCCAGTAAGTGACCAGGAAAATGTCGGCCCACCGTTCTAATGACAAACGACAGCTTTTGTGTTCGGATGGTATCTCCACTGAGGCTAGTTTTCATTAACCTGAAAGCAAAACAAATTTAGCTTCCAAACAGTCATTCATGCTGAAGTGATGACTGAACTGACGTTAGTACTGGTCTCCTAATTAAAGCTCTGTAGCAATTCGAGGGCTATAAATCCAGGGTTAGTCTAAGATCGAGCAATAGATTGAAAACTTGTCTATATATATATATATATATATATAAAAGAAAACTCACCAATAAAATAAGAACTTCGATATACTATGACATAATAATACATAGCTCTTGATGTAGTAATTCTGGTAGAATTTATAATTCTGAAAACTCATTTTTTTCTGTTAAAAACCTTATTTGATTTGAATAGGCAAGTACATTATTACTCTTTAAACAACTGGGCTGTTGAAATAATGTGAAAACGAAGATACATTTCAGAATATACTCTTGATATTAATAGTTATTATTACTTCACATGTACTAATGTTCTAAATTGTTGACACAACAATGCTTGAAAAGGTAATTATTACCTATCCCCACTTTATAGTTTAAGAAACTGAAGTTAAGTAATTGCCCCAGTTACACTGCTAGTAAATACTGAAGCCTGGCGCCTGAACATGAGCGGCTCTCATCTACTGCACTATACAATGTGTGCGGAGAAAGAAACACATCCCCCAAATAATGCAGCGATACTTTTTTTAGAAAACAGAAGTGCTCATCAAGCTGTGATGGGTTAAACAAAGTATGACAGAGCCATACTATGGAATACTATGCAGCCATAAAAACAAATGAAGTTGGCTTCATGAAATGACATGGCAAATCTCAGAGACTGATCATTCGCTGAAAGGACCGTCACAAAACACTGGGGATAGTATAAACCTATGCTGATATATAAATATACTCACGAGGCTTGACACTGTTAACAGAGAGAATAAGAATGGAAGTAAAGGATCATACGAGAGAATTACATGAGACTATCATATTTTATTCCATTTTCTTAGGTACTGTTTAAATACTTTATAATGGGAATTTATTAGTGTGTTACCAGTTTAAAAAAAAATTATTACTAATCTGAAACAAAAATTTTCCTGTGTTTGGATCAGAGGCTGGCTACTACTTTAAAGACAATTATGATTTACAGTGTATCCTTTGGGACACTAGGATTTATCTGTGCAAATTTATACAAGAGAATCAGTGACACTCAAATGCCTCCCTCTGTCCTTCCCAGTGCTGACTCTTAAGATACCTTCCTATTTCCCTTGGCTCCCTGGAGCTCCCCTACCTGCTACTGACTGTTTCCTGTCAGAGGGCCCTACTTACTTCCCTCCTTTCCCCATGTGAAAATCCTATTTCCAAGTCTTCAGCAGCTAAATATCAAAAAGAAAATGTCTGACACATTCATATGAAGGTACAGTATAGCCTATAAGCTTTTACATGTTACCTTTCTCTGTAGTGTCTGCATTTTCAAAATGACAGCTTGGATGGAGCAATGCCTTGGCTAGAAAGAATGAAGCACTAACTGTGGAATTAAGACAACACTCCACGGGGACAAAGAAGTGTTTAAGCAGAAAGCAGGCGGGGGTTGTGATTCTTGGCACTGCCCCGTCTCCTCTAGGCTCCTGAGATGAAACCCAGCACATGTGGGCTCCTTACCACATTGACCAAGTCAGGTCTGGGCTGTGAGTAAAAGGACAAAAACGGAGATCCCAGAGAAAATGAGCTCCCACCCTTGGAGCACAATGCTTTCGTGCTTTTGGTTTCTATATATCATATTCCTTGGGTGGTTTCATACCAGTAAAGTTTCCGTACATCCTCTGAGCTCGCAAGAGCTTCGAGTATTTTATTCTTCTCTGCTTCAGAGCCTAGAGAGGTATACTTGCTCAAGAGGAACAACCAGCCTTTCTCAGTTCTTGCTCCAACTTTGAACACAGCAGTCATGACATCAGTAGGTAGGCTGTAAGAGAGGTGGTCAAACATGAGAACAAGCAAACATCCTGAATATAAAGGTAAAGAAGTGACTAGTGGTGATGTTATAGGGGTCAGACCAGAGCAGGACAGAATAATTGTTATTGTACCACTAGTAGTGAAGAAAATGGTTAATTTAGTGGCTGCTACTTTCCTAATTGGTGGGACTATAGAAATATCAATTCAATTTAATACAATAACTATTCACTGAGCATCCACAAAGAATCAGGCAGGCAACTGGCTGGATGATGGAAAGGGGAAGAAAGAGACACAGTCTCTGCCTCTAGGAACTCTAGGTTACTACAAAGTACAGTATATATATTACTTTACAGTGTGGTCAGTTCCATGGTAGGAATGTGGAGAGACAGGTGAGAAGAGGGGAAGAAGCAGTTTTCTGCACTAGGATCTCTTTATCTGATGCTTGAATCCTTTCCCTTAATACCTAATAGGGGAACTAGAAAGAACCAATTATCCTCAAACTATTTCTAATTGCTGACTCCACCTATGTTTTATTCCTAAATTAAAAGAGACTCTTTGACACCTCACAACAATTAGGATGGTTGCTATAAAAAAAACCAAAACAGAAAATAGCCAGTGTTGCTGAGGATGTGGAGAGGCTGGAAGGAACCCACGTGCACTGTTGGCGGGAATGGAAAATGGTGCAGCTGCTGAGGGAAACTGTGGCGTTTCCTCAAAATACTGAAAAATAGAACTACCATATGACCCCATTCTGGGTCCAAATCTGAAATAACTGAAAGCAGGGTTTCAGAGACATATCTGTACACCTGTGTTCATAGCAGCATTATTCATAAGAGCCAACAGGTAGGAGCAACCCAAACATCCATCAATGACTGAAGGGACAAGCAGAATGTGGTATATACATACAATGGATTAGTTATTCAGCCATAAAAAGGAAGGACATCCTAACACATACTACAACATGAAAATGAACCTTGAGGATATTATGTTAAACGATACAAGCCAGTTACAGAAAGACAAACACTGTATGACTTCACATATATGAGGTATTTAGAGCAGTAAAAACTCATGAAATAGAAAGTAGAACGGTGGTTTCTAGAGGCTGGGAAGAGGGGAAGGTGGGAGCTGTTTGGTAAGAAGTGTTGCAAGATAAAGTTCTAGAGATTTGTTGCACAACAATGTAAACATGCTTATATTAGCAAATTTTACATTTAAAAATGGTTAAAACAGTACATTTCATGTTTTTACCACAATTAAGAAAACAGTCTTATTTGAGAACATACGGGCATTGAGTTCACATACATCAACACTCATATAACATTCCGGACCCAGGACGACAAGCGCCTGCTTCGGTCTACGATGTAAGCGGAGAAGAGGAGGCGCGTTCCCTGGGGGAGAAGCTCACCTCAGAGTTCCGTTGGATTCCCTCCAGCTGTCGAACAGCTTCATGGCAGTGTTGCTGCAGTCCTCCAGGTTGTGGGTGCAAGCAAATTCCAGCAAGGCGGACCGCAGCTCTCGAGCAGATGGGGTGCCGTCATCAGTCCAATTTTGCTGTTGAATTTGGTTTTGAAGCAATTTAAATACCCTGGTCTAGAGACACAAAATGGATTATAATGGATTAATAATAATTAGGACAACCAGAAAAATCAGGACAATTAGATCTCTTTTTCTCAACATTCACCCAAGGACAAAAAAAGGGAGGGGGACATCGATATTACTCATTAAATATCAACTGCCCATGTACAGCTGGAATGAAGCATTAAATGACAAAGTTTATACAAAAGGCTGCTATAGCCAAGAGGGACTTTTAATGACATAACATAGAAAGAATTAATGGCTTCTCTGAAGTAGGGAACCTTTCTTCTGTGTGTACTCAGCAAGAAGTTATTTTCCTGCCCCAAAGTACCACTGCTAGGAGGAAGTTGGAACTTCCTGACCTCATGACTTTATAACTCATAAATCCAAAGAGTAGTGAGAAAAAATATAGTTCTTAACTCATGAGTAGATGTTTAAATGTTTCTGAATCCAATATTAAGTAAATATTTAAAATATCAATAATCTGATGCTGTAACAAATTAATCTAATTAGTGTGAAAATGAGGACTACAGGCAAGTATAGTTATTTATAGTTATTTTTTCTCCCCTCAACATTTATTTTAAAAATTCTGAACCTACAGAAAAACTACAAGAGTGGTTCAATGGCCTGGCCAGTGTGGTTCACTGGTTGAGCATTGGCCCAGTACCAAGAGGTTGCTAGTTCAATTCCTGGTCAGGACACATGCCCAGGTTGCAGGCTCAATCCCCAACAGGGGGTGTGGAGGAGTCAGCCAATCTATGTTTCTTTCTCACATTGATGTTTCTATCTCTCTCTCCTTTCCTCTCTCTAAAAAATCAATAAAAATATACATTTAAAAAAATGGCATTCAGAAGTATTGGAGGCAAGAGGAACTTGACATTTGAAGATGCTAAAGCTAATTCCTGAGCAGTTAGTCCATCAGAATTACATGGTGAAATTTTACTAGTTATTCCTTGTACACTAAAGAGTTGAGGAATTACCAAAATAGTTGATTTTAAATATATTTTAAATAATAACATATTAGAGTAAAAATAAAATATTTTATTTAAGAATAATTTTTTTAGAAAATTCCAGGTTATATTTTTAGTATTAATAAATCGTAGCAAGTGCTTCAAATTACCTTTTCCTTTTACAAATAAAATTAAACATATTTTCCCCATGGTTCTAAATTAATTTTTGATATTTAAACTCATTAAACAACAGAATCCCATCCTCTGATTTCATAAAGTGAAAATAGCAAGTGGGGAGAGGGGGCATAGATGCTAAACACAATTCAAGGAGTTAAACCTTTTGAATATTTTCCTACTCTGACACTTACGTGGGGTTATACAAGCTAAAAACATTGAATATGCAATAAAAATGCAACAACAACGTAACATGATTTAAAAAATAAAACAGGGAAAGACGCTGGCACTTATGTTATGCATTACATTTTGATTTACTGCTTTAATTTTACAGTGATATGCCAAGGGAGTTCTTTCTTGGGTCAATGAGCTTCTTAAAAGTGAAGTGTCAGCTTTTATTGTGAAAGGTTTATCCCACCAATCCCTCGTATGTAAAAGAATGACAGACTTATAAGTGATGAGACAGGAATATGGCTAGGATCAGATGTTAACATCATATGTGAACAATCTGACACAATTCAAATGTGCCTCCAGACCCTACCCACCATACCACCACAGCACACATCACAAAATATGGTATGTCGGTATGTGCTATGTAGGTATGTGCAGCTTACACAACAACATGACCGATAAATGTACACACTGCTCTGGTGACAATGACATAAAAATCAGACACCAGTCTTAACCACAAATATTATCTGAAGATTGGATCCAAGACTCAGAAATGTCTGCCATTCCAATTTCCTACTACAGTGGGTTAGACTTCGTATTTTGAGAGTTTTGATGCTACCACAAAGCCCTAAAATTAGAATAAGAATTTTAAAGAGACAGTTTCCCCTTCTTGATGAACTGAAGCTAATCTGACCTTTAACAATCAAGTGTATAAAGATCTCCAGCAGTAAAAGGGCCTGTGGTCTTCCAAACTCATACTAATAAGCCTCCTGCCCTTACCTGCTAGCCATCAGTCCCCGGACCCCACCCTGAAGTATGTTCTTTTTTTAAAGATTTTTTTTATTCATTTTTAGAGAGAGAAAGGGAGAGGAGAGAAAAACATCCACGTGAGGCTGCCTCTTGCAGGCCCCCTACTGGGGATCGAGACACTCAGGCATGTGCCCTGAAGGGAATGGAACCAGCAGTCTTTCGGTTGGGGGTGCATGGGAGGACGCCCAACTGACTGAGCCACACTGGCCAGGGCCTGATCTTTTTTTTTTTTTTTTAATCCTCACCCAAGGACATTTTTGTATTTATCTTCAGATAGAGTGGGAGGGAGAGAGGTGGGAAGAGAGAGAGAAACATCGATGTGAGAGAGACACATCGAGTGACTGCCACCCACACGACCCCAACCAGGCCCGGAGACAAACTGCCAATGAGGTACATGCCCTTAGCAGGAACCAAACCCAGGACTCTCTGGTCCGTGTGCTGACGCTCTAACCGCTGAGACACACCGGCCAGGGCCTGAGGTATGTTCTTAATAAACACACAGCTGCCCAGCAAACTGGAAGTCATCATCTGGAATGAAGATACAGTTACTCGAGTGCCACAGTAGGAAAATATTCAAAAGGTTTAACTCCCTGAGTTGTGTTTCGCATCTATATTCTCAGCACGGGGATTCGGCTTGAGGTCAGTTATCGAGTGCTTCCTGACACTGGACTTCAACAGAGTGAATGGAGAGAGCTGGAGGAAGAGTGGCTTCTGCCATGAGGAAATTTAACTAGCTGGGCAGCTTCAGAGTAGACAGATATTCTGCCTCCTCGTAGGCTTTATTCAGTACCAGCACTGTTCTTTAATACTGAAAAGAAGTGAGTGATATAAACTAATATTACTACCTATACTGGGTTGAAGAGTATCCCCCCAAAACTCATGTCTAACTGGAACCTGTGAATGTGACCTTATTTGGGAATAGGATTTTTGCAGATGTAAACAAGTTAAGATGAGGTCATAGCAGATTACAATGGGCCCAAATCCAATGACTGGTGTCCTTCCAAGAGGAAATTCAGACCAAGAAACCCAGGAAGAATGCCATGTGAAGACAGAGGCAGATTGGAGGAACGCAACTACAAACGAAGGAATGCCAGAGACTGCCAGCAAGCCCCTGAAGTTGAGAGAGACACATGGAACGGATTCTCTCTCAGAAGAAACCAACCTTACCCTGATAATACCTTGATTTAAGGCTTGCAGAACTGTGAGAGAAAACAGTTCTGTTACTTGAAGACACCAAGTTTGTAACAATTTATTACAGCAGCCCTACAAAACTAATGTATTACCTCAAATAGTGTTGATTTGATATGGCATTAATAACCCCCAAGTAATTATAGAAATTCTGTAATAAAATGAAGCATACTGGATCAATTAGATATCCATATTGAAAAGTAATTAATATTTATGTCTACTTCACACTACATAAAAAAATCAATTCCAGAAGGATCATAAATCTAAATATAAAATGTAAAAAAACTTTTCAAGATATCTTGGGTTAGGCAGATTTCATATCTTAAAATTAAGAATTTATGCTAATTTAAAAATCATTAAAAGCCCGGCCAGTGTGGCGCAGTGGTTGAGCAGCGACCCATGCACCAAGAGGCTGCCGGTTCGATTCCTGGTCAGGGCATATGCCCAGGTTGTGGGTCAAATCCCCAGTGTGGGGTATGCAGGAGGCAGCCTATCGATGTTCCCTCTCATTGATGTTTGTTATCTCTCTCTCCCTCTCCTTTCCTTTCTCTCTAAAATCAATAAAGAAAAAATCAATAAAAATAAATAAATAAAAAATCATGAAGAAAGTGAAAAGGCAAGCCAGAGTAGAAGATATTTACAAATATACATGATCAACAAAGGACTCATAAATAGAATATATAAAGAAGTCTTACAAATCAATAATAAAAAGGCAGACAAGCCAATAGAAAAACAAATGAAAGACTTGGGTACAAAAGAGAACATCTAGCCCTGGCTGGCATGGCACAGTTGGTTGGGGTGTTGTCCATACACCAGAAGGTGGCAGCTGTGATTCCCAGCCAGGGCACACACCTGGACTGCGGGCCTGATCCTGGTGGGGGCTTATGTGGGAGGCAACTGATCAATGTTTCTCTCTCACACTGATGTTTCTTTCTCTCTCTGCCTTCCTCTCTCTAAAAGTCAATAAAATAAAAGAGAGAGAGAGAGAAAAAGAGAGAGAGAACATTCAATGGTCAATAAACATATCAAAAGAAATTCATCTTCACTTTAGGGAAATGCAAATTAAAGTCAAAATTACAATACCATGATGCACCCATCCAAATGGCTAAAAGAAAAAAAATTTAATATTAATACTAAGTGTTGGCAAAAATATAGATCCAGAAGAGAACTCAAATTCTCATATAGTGCTCACGGAGCATTAAATTGGTATAACTGTGAAAAACAATTTGGTAGTACAGTATTAACCATGCATATGTGTGACTCAGCAATTCCACTTCCAGGCACATACCCCATAGAAATTCACCAAAGACATGTATAAGAATATTCACAGCAACACTATTTGTAATAGCTCCAAACTCCACACAACCTGAATGTCCATCTACAGTAGCTGAACTGGCTAATAAATGACCAATCTCTTTAATATACTAACAGTACAAAGTCTGTGTCAGATTCTAAGTTTATGTGGGATTCTAAGTTTATGTCAGATTTTAAGTTTATGCCTTAAAGAGACCAATATGTTTTTGTATACTTCTTGGAAATGCATATCAATACTATAAAAAATACTGTTACTAACATTTTGGATATAAAAGAAATCTCATATAGTAAGCATACAACTTCATTTTCAAGGAAGTAACTAGATATGGGTCCGTGATTTTAAATCTTAAACACATGATCTATAAGCTTTTCAACCTGTTTTAATTTAAAATCTGTTACAAAAAAATGATAGCAAAAAAGAAAAAGCTTTGATTTTCCCAATGAAAAGGTATCATTGGAAAGATGACATTATTAGAATTCCAATTAGTTTACAATATAGCAACATAAAGCACAGAATAGGCTTTGAAGTGAAACTAGTATGGGGTTGAATCTCAGCTTATAATTAACTAGGTAAGTGACTTTAGGGAAGTTATTTAGTCTCATGTATCTAATGAGGGTAGAAATATCTATTTGCCAAATGTGTGAGGATTAAACGAGGTAGTCTACATTAAGCACTAAGCATGATGTACAGAATATAATAAGCACTCAAATGTACTTCTTTCTGGAGTGTCTCACTCATTTATTCATTCCACATTTACTGAATGTCACTATGGGCTGAGTCACATTCCAGGCATTGGTTTTTGTTAAGGTCAGTATTTTAAAGTGTTATGAAATAGATGATAAAAATCTATCAATTAGAAGAGACCTCAGAAATCATGGAACTTAATCATCTCACTTATGGATAGGGAGGGAGGGGGTGGCTCCTTTGAGGTCAGATCGGAAACTTGTGAGGAAGGGTGTTTTTCAAGCTCCATATGGCCTACCTGCCCTGCATTACCTTCCCCCACTGTGATCATGCATGGAATAAGAACTCATCACATGGGATGTACAGTAGGTCAGTAAGAGCAGCAGAAAGGAGATTTTTTTTTTTTTTTTAAGATGTAATCCCACCCCTTTTACCAGTGAGGATACCAAACCCCTAAAAGACATATTCTAATTCCTGGTCCAATACTTTCTTCCTTTTCCTAAAAGTTGCCTTTTACTTGGTCCCTAGAAAACCTGACTAGTTTACAAAGCAAACCCTTTTGTTAGAATGTGCTGATTCAGAGCATTGGATAGAACAAAGGACTCATCACTCCCTCACAAGCTTTTAAAGTCAAAGTCAACAGTTTAACACTGAAAGTGTCTAAAATAACAACTGTTAAGATCAGGCAACTGGTTTTAAAAAAATGTAAAACAGTCTCCAATATCAAGACTCCCTTATTGCTTTGCAGAGAAACATATCCACCAGCACCATCATCCATAAGACAGGTATTAGTAAGGACTCCCAAATAGCTTCTCATTACAAACACAACTGTCATGTTATATTGACCAGTAGGACATTAATGGGGAGCACTACTTCGCAAAAGGGTCCATTTAAAGCATTTATTACGTAAAAATTTGAATTAAAAATTTTTCTTTTCATGTGATAGCACTATCAGAAGTCTGTATTTTTTTTTTATCCTCACCCGAGGACATTTTTCCATTTTTTGTTCAGGTAGAGTGGGAGGGAGAGAGGGGAACAGAGAGAGAGAGAGAGAGAAACATCGATGTGAAAGGAACACATCGAGTGGCTGCCACCCGCACAACCGACCAGGGCTGGGGACAAACTGCAACCGAGGTACGCGCCCTTAGCGGTAATCAAACCCGGGTCTCTCAGGACCGCAGGCTGACGCCCTAACTGCTGAGCCAAACCGGCCAGGGCAGAAGAAGTCTGTATTTTGATATTTCAACAAGACCACATTATGCTAAGCCTTTATTAACTCTTCATGGTAAGCAATGACATTTTGATTCAAAGCAAGGATTTCTCAGAAAGTGAAGAAAATGGAATCTAGTTCCTTTTTCAGCCTATTATTGCAGAATGGAATTAGAATAACCCTATTAAAGGCAAGCAGGCAGCTGGCAATGAGGCAGACTTACCACCAATCTTGAGGCCAGATCCATGTATCCTAGTTTTTCAAGGAGGTTGTAGATGAGGCCTGTCTGGAACAGGGTTTCAGTGATGGGTGCAGTATAGGTCTCATTTCCAAGGTAACCAATCAAATCGAAGGCCTTCTGAAGAGGCACTCTTCCTAGGCTAAAGGGTAAAAGAACAGAAAATGTAAACATGCTGAGAAAGGCAGATGAACTCAATGCACGCTGAGAGAAGTTTTATTTATTGTCAGATGGTGAGTCTCGAAGACCTAAAATTTAAGCTTAGAGTGTCAGCCTGTAAAGTTAGACTAAATATTATTACCTTTGATTAAGTTCATGTGTGTGACTTAAGGTTAAACATACATTTCAGAAAAAAGATAAACAATTGCTCTGTTTTTATTCCATAAGTCACCTGAAAATTGCTACTGACTCAGGAAAAGTATTACAATATCTTAGGTGAGAAATGATGAAAAGTACTAATTTTATTTATTTTTAATTACTTATATTTACCAGGTGAGAAAAGGTAGCATAAAGAAAATCTGAATCAGAAAGAAAATTATTTATTTATATGGGAATTTGTTTGTCAAACTTGTTAAAGCGAGGTCCACTGTGAATTTATAGTGAGTATGTTTTAAAAATTAACCATTTTATAGAAATCATAACAATGATAGCTGAGATGATATAAGGTCATTTTATAAAAAATAAATAAATAAATAAAAGAGCCAAAATAGGAAGGTCAAGAGCAGTCAGAAGGAACACCTGAATATTCCTTGTGTCTCTAGACCCATTAAAACCTAAATTGGTAATCTTCCTATTCCCAAGATATCAATACACAAGTCACTGCCATTCTTGGCTTTGGGATTCTGTGATGCATGAGGTGATGAGAGAGGCAAATGGTACCTAAATAAGGAAGCTCTAGATATAAGAGGTGTCCCTCAAACTGGTGAGAAGCACTAAGCTTGGAAAGAATTCTCTCAAGAAATAAAACAAAGGCTAAATGACATCAATTTATTCAGCAAATATGGGTCTTACTTGTTGGCATCTGCATTCTTAAAATATTATTTAAATCTTCTTACATAACTGTTCAATATTTGTAGCTAATGTTTTAATAAAGACTGTAAAGTCTTTGAAGGCAAGAACTGTCTTACATTTTCCAGTTCCTCCAAAATGAATTATACCTAACAGGCAATATATGCTAGTTCTTTTGAACTGTTTTTTCTAAAATGTTCTTTTTCTCAGTATCACTTGTTTAAAAAACAAACAAAACAAAACAAAACCAAGCATACTCTACCCTGCAAGTTCAAAGATGTTGTTGATGAGGTTGGCTCGGTCTTTGTCACTCAGAACATAAGGATTTATTTTCAACTGTTTGATTATTGCATCCCAGTCATCATTTGCATAATGTACTATATAATAGCCACTCATGTCTGTATTGACTTTGATCCACTGAACTTCTTCTGTGAGATTGATGACATCTAATACAGACCAAATAAGACAGACAGAGAGAGAGAGAAGGAGGGGAGAATAATAGGGCAAGAAAAAAAATTAAATGAATGCTTTGTTTCCAAGTTAACGTGGTATATTTTTATACTTAATTATTCTACTAAGAGCTAAATATCTGCCTTTCAGCATAGCTATTTTCACATTTACATAGATTACCACTCATTCATTTAACAATTATTTATTTAATGGTGAACAAGGTAGTTATGTCCCTTTTCTCATAGGTCTTACAGTCTAATGTAACCAGGCAGGTAGAATTCATACAAATGTTATTGGTGGAAAAGGAAAATATAATATTGTATGAAGTACACAGAAGAAATGCTGCATCCCCTAGGAAAAGTTAGGTAAGGTTTCCTGGAAGAAATGACAGCTTGAGGTTAGCCAGGTAGAATGTTCCAGACCCAGAGAGAAAATGCACACGGTGCCATGCATGACCTGGCTCCTGGGTGCACTGCGGCAGAGAAGAGAAGCAGGGAGAAAGGGAAATGCGAGCCGGGTGGGGCAGCAGGGAAGTTGGTGAGAGAACTATGCAGAACGTGTTCCATGCAGGCTTGACTTTATGTTAGCAAAGGAAGAGCAAATACAGTCATTTAGAAAAGTCACATAATACAAAGCTAGCAAAACAAACATTAGGGAAGAATTAATGTCTCATTGGGTAAAATAAAAAATAATTGAGTTAAAATAGTAGACATGTGATTTGTACTTTGTGGGCCCCAACCATTACATATATAAATGCTGAGAGAATTGTTAGACATTTATATGGAATGATTTCAATTAATTTACAATTAATAAGGAAGTACAAACTACTTGACAACAAAAATGCATTACTACAAAAGCTGACCACAAAATATATGTAGTAAAATTTAAAATCCTGAAAATTACTAATTAAGAAATGTCCTTTAAAGTAGCAACAAGGACATTAACTTAATATAATATGCTTCTAAGTGGCTTAAGGTTTACTATTTATTAGAATATATGCTCCATGAGCTATTTTTTTTATTTTTTATCCTAACCTGAGGACATTTTTCCATTTTTTGTTCAGGTAGAGTGGGAGGGAGAGAGAGGAACAGATAGAGAGAGAGAAACATCGATGTGAAAGGAACACACCAAGTGGCTGCCACCCGCACGACCTACCAGAGCCGGGGACAAACTGCAACTGAGGTACATGCCCTTAGCGGGAACCAAACCCCGGTCTCTCAGGACTGCAGGCTAACGCTCTATCCGCTGAGCCAAACTGGCCAGGCCTCCATGAGCTATTTTTTTTCACTGCTAATCCCTCAGCACCAAGAACAATGTTCCTAGTACTCAAAAAAATACTTGGATACTTAATGGATGAATAAACAAAATAACTATCATAGTAAATGGTTTTAAAGTATCTAAATAAGCTTTGTAAATGTTTATGTAAGTTTTCTTACCTGTTTTAAAATAAATATTAATTTTTAAAATTATAAGAGAAAGAGAAGTAGAGAAATAAGAAGCAGATTTAAACTCAAACAATAATAGCACTTCGGGGTCTATTTCCTGCCAAGATTTTTTTCTATACATAATTTAATTGATGTACTATCCCAGACAACAGATCGACATATATGCATCTATTTTATACTGCATTTTCACCTATCAGATGCTGCTACTTGCCATTTTCCCATTGTCTTCATATGCAGTATTCAAATATCTTCATGATATTCACAATGTCAAGACCTACCACAGTTTAACAATCTCCTATTTGAAAACACTTAGGCTGTTTTTAAATTTTCACTATCAGAATAAAGCTGTGTGAAAGTTTTTGCACATATACTTTAGAAACACATTTAAATCCTTTAGTATCTTAAGTGTTAGGAGTCTATCAACTTCAAAAGCATGAATTATTAAAATTTATCAGATTCTCTTAATACCTTATTCTAATTCTACTGAAACTACAAAAGATGTTTAGAGATGGAAAAGACTTACATTCTGATTGTGTCTTAAAAATGATGTATTGGATAATGTCTTTTTCATTTAAAAGTTCCATACTAACTTTTGTTTTATTGTTGATATAGCAGAAAAATCAATTATTTTAATATTGTCTATTCCTTTTTCTAGAGCAGAATGAAGTTCTAAGGAATAATTATGATGGCAACAGTAGTGACTCCAAATTGAAGACATTTTTAACGAAACTATGACTAATAAAATTAACTTCATCATGCAAAAACTATCACCACTCTCCAGGTCATCAAACCCAATTTCCGACAGATCTTTCATCAAGAAGGACCTTGGGAAGGACTGAAGAACTCCAACTCTCCCCTTCCCATAAAAGGAGGCAAGTAATGATAAATACGGCATTTCCCCCAGTGGATGGATGCAGGAAAATACTGAAATACAGAGTATCTTGGCTGATAAGCAAGCAACTTTCCGTGTTGTAAACCTAGCCAAGTCCAAATGATAAAGAGGAGAAATGCAGCTGGGAGTGTACTTGAAATTATTGCTGTCGTCTCGATGACAGCATAGAAGCTGTACAGCCAACAGCACAGAGAGGAGGATTATCATTTAAGGAATCAGCATGTTAGTCTCTTCCAGGTCTTCTGAATGATCCAGAATAGAGATCCTTAAAACCACAGGTATCAAAAAATAATAGCTTTGCTCACAAGGGAAGTAACTACATCCTGCAGCTCAAATGTGGATGAGGCTGCCCTCATATGTTTTTAATTTATTGTAATCATTAGCAGCTTAACAGTTCAATTTTCACAATCCATTGAGTAGTAAAAAGAATGAGCAACTCCAATCTTAAACGGCAGAAGCCCAGATGAAGTAATCTAATATTGATTTTAAAAAGCCATTTGTCAATGACTTATGAAAATCAACTACTGTTTTATGAAGAAACATTAAAGCACAGAAACAAAATCATGTTTTTACTACGAAGTCACAAAACGTCCTGTGTAGTCTGCTCCAGAGGACTAGCACGAGACGTGCAATTGAACTGCACCCCTCCTTGTTCAAAAGCATTCCTTTCTGTAATGCCCCTTTCTTCTCCTTTATTTTATTAGGGGGGGAAAGGCAAGAGCAGAGAATGGCACATGATAAATATCTTAATTCTATGATTTTCCTTCTTTTTTCCAGTTGCCTTTCACTCTAATGACATGTCTTTTAATTTCAAGGAAATATTTCTGGCACAGTGATATCCTTTTAGAAACATGAATATTTCAAGTTAGCTTCAATATAAAAATTTGCCGTAGTTAAAGAGCTTAGTCTGAGTAAGATGTGGATTGAATCAGAGACAGAGGAGGGAGGAAAGGAAGGAAGAAAAGGGAGACGGAGACACTCACTTTTTTGGTATAATTTCCTCAATATGTAGTTTAAAAAAATGGTCCCTTTCAGCCCTTTTTTTAAAAATCCTCACCAAAGGACATGCTTAGTGAAAGGAAGGGAGAGAAGGAGAGAGAGACAGAGACAGAGAGAGAAACAATGATCCATTGCCTTGCCTACATACCCCGATTAGGAATTGAACCCACAACCCAAGTATATGCCCTGACCAGGAATCAAACTGGTAACATTTTGGTGCACAGGATGAAACACAACCGAGCCACTCAAGCTGGGCCCTTTCAGGTCTTCTGCACAATTATTAATTGTTCAAATTCATGTATGTGGGGAAAAGTGACAGATATTAATCAAATATAACTCCCATATTTGACTGAACTAATGGACTAACCCAGTAACCCTGGAACACATGGAAATATACCACAGATTTAATGAACTACCAAGATAACACCCTGTACTAAAGTCATATGGCATAAAATAAGCCTCTGCAGTCGCTGCCTCTGTTCTTTTGAAAACAGAAAAAATTAAAATAACAATTCAAATAAGAGTGATTCCAAAGCATCAGGAACCAAGAAGAGCCATGCAAACTGAGCTAAAAAGTAAAGAGCTAATAAAAGCAGACACTATCCTGTTGTCCAATTACTTCTAAAACCACCAAAAACTTATAGACTATGGAGAGGTTTGCAAAATATCCTTATTGGTCCCTTTCAAACAGGGAGATGAGATTCTTTCTTTCCTCTTAGGTGAGAGACGATCCTCCCTGGGCCCAAATAAAATATGCAGTTTTGTTTCCATTAAAGAAGCACTTCCAGCTATGTTAGATTAATCAAGGATGTGATGGTATCATCACATCAGTGTTTTAAATAATGAGATTGTTGTAACGGTCCAATCTAGTTAACTGCAATGCAACTGGTATGCTCATATATTTCAATTGGCATTATAAATTGTTAGCACATAATAAAAGGGCAACTTAGAAATATGTATTAAATCACAAAAGGTAATAGTTTTCATTTTAAGAAGCATTTCAATGAAAGTAAAATTCAAATAATGAAAATATTTAAGAGTCCAAATTTTTATTAAGGCTTTTTCCCCCCCATAAAGATAAGTGGTGAATCAAATGTGTCCAATTGTAAGGAAAGATTAAGCCAATTACTATACATACTAAGTTTTTTTAAAAAAGATATAAAAGTCACATGTACACAATGACATCAACTAAGTAAAAATACTTTTAAGTGACTAGAAAGAATCATGAGAGTAGTTATGGTAGGCTGATAAGATTTATTCTCTTTTCCTAGGTTTTCTGTAATATGGATATGTTATGTTTAAAGTATTCTTCAATAATAACATCAGTAACAACAGCCAACCCTTATATAGCACATAACACATGCCAGGTATTGTTCTAGGTGTTTCATATAATTGATCTCAATTAATCCTCATCATAACACTATAAAGTAAGTGTAACTACTATCCCTATTCTATAGCTGAGGAAAGGAGGCTTAGAGAGGGCACATAACTCACCGAAAATCATACAAGTGAACCAGGTAATCTGGCTCCAAAGTTTGTTCCCTTAAACACTAAACTACACTGCACTCTCAAAAATACAGGACTGAACACCAGATCCAAATTTAAATAAGAAATTTTCACTTTCCATAAATCTAGAGTATCACTAGTGGTTCCTGCAGAACCCAGAAGCCTAATGTTCTTTCAGGGTATAAATTAAGAGGATACTTGGTGTGGCATTCATAGAAGTAGTTAACAGATGGTCAGGAACTGTATTTCAATTGCTTTCTATAGACTCATTGTGGGTCAGCATATACAATCTTTACATTTTATTATCTCATTCCTTGCAATCATAATTTTTTGCCCTATTTTTTTTTTCATTACTAAAAATATATACGTCTGCAAGACATTTTGTAATAATTATTTACTATAAATCTAGGTCATAAATCAATCTCTATTATGCATAAGAAGCATCTAGGTAGGTTGCTTATTAAAAATGCCATTGCCCCAGCCCACCCCTAGAAAGCAGACAGCAGAGCATAATTTAAGAAAACTTCTCTACTTCTAACTTTGTAACATAAAATATTATTCTAGGGTATAAAAATACAGCATTTGTTATTTTCTACCAGGACTGCTAGCACTCTCAGTGCAACGTTTTATACCTTATGTCACGTGACTGAGACTGAGAAAGCCCCACTTTATGCCTGTAGATACACAGACTCAATCTCACTTCCGTCACATCATGTACAGGTGACTCATAAAACTAGTTCAGAGAGCGTGCACACTGGAAAGTGTAAACTCCTTTTTACTGCTTGGTCAAATGTTTTAAAAATGTGCTGTTTCTAATTTCTTATAAGGAAAGCGTTAATTAAGTCAAACCTGATTTCTTGTCCAGAAATGATACCAATTGGTGTCTTGAAAAATTTCTTCCCTCAGTGACAAAGGATAGTGGAATATGCCACAGATAGCTATAAAAAGAAAATATTTAAAGATTATTACACTTTCCAATATTTCTGTCATTTACACATAATTTGTTGATTTTTGCTTTTTTGTTTTGGGGATTTTTTGGAGTAAGGGGCAGGAAGGTAAAATTTTTCAAGGTATTTACAAGAAAGAGATAATCTTGTTACAGGTTTCATAAGAACCAATGATGACAAAACATTAAAAAATATTTTAACCTGAGAGTACAAAAGAGAAAGCAGGGAGAGAAAGAAGGCATGTACCTTGCATCTGAAGGCTGAATTTCAGCCTTCATATTTAAAAAGAATCTTTCTTGTTTTATAAGAAGCTCTGTTCCTTTTCTTTGGACAGTCACTAAAGGAAATCCTTTCTGCAGGGTCCAGGTTTTCATCATTTTCTTTACATCTAGTGTTTTGTTTGTGACCTATTAATAAAAGAAAATTATTTTTGCTTAGAGATAAACAGTTAAAAAACTTTCCAGTTTGTATCTTTCCCTTCCACATTCTATGAAGACTACATTTAGTGTTAATATAAAAAAAGTACGAATGCAGAGTTGAATTTACATTTCTAATCTAGGTAAAAGAGCAATTGCTAAAAGGAAAGTAACCTGGAACAGAACAAAGTGATAACTAAAGTGAGTAAGAGAGGCACTATGTTGAAAAAGAAGTAGATATTATCAACCGAGTATTCATTAAAATCCCGAAGGAGGTATAAGGGCTCTTTCAGGTCACAAGGCTGGCACTGAAGGTATGAGTAATGACATGTAGTCTAGAATCAGAAGCACTGTTACTTACTGCTGTAAACCAGCTGAGTCCAGATTTCTCTACTCTCCAGACCCCCTGCTTTCATAAATGTCAAAGTTCTTCTTTTAAAGAAGTAACACTGTGGGAATGCCAGGGAGCAGTAGCAGAAGAGTGAAATATAAACAGGTTGGTTGCCTTGACTTTAAGTCTCTCTAGAGAAGAGCGGTAAACTTTTTTTAATAGTCCAGACCCTCTTTCCTAGACAATTGACTAAACTTATCTACAAAACCTGGAATCCAGTGTCAAAGGTTTATAGTGTGTTTTAGAAAATCAATAATTAAGAAGCAATTTTTGAAGATCTCTTTAAAGGAGTTGAGTTAAACTTATGGTAAATTATTTTTCTAGATTACATATAGATTTGAATTGTAAGCAACTAAAATCATCAAGTACTGTCCGGCTGGTGTGGCTCAGTGGTTGATCATCGACCCCTGCACCAAGAGGTTGCCAGTTTGATTCCTGGTCAGGGCACATGCCCAGGTTGTGGGCCAAATCCCCAGAGGGGGGCATGCAGGAGGCAGGCAATTAATGTTCTCTCTCATCAATATCTCTCTCTCTCCCCCTCTCCTTTCTTCTCTCTAATAAATTAATAAAGAATATTGAAAATCATCAAGTACTTAAAATGTTTGGTAATATCGCTGCACTATGGCAGGCCTTACTTACCTCAATCACCATATTCCTATTTGTTTAAAGCAGAAAAAAATAAAGCAAATCTTCCCAAATTCATTGTGATATTAATCTTACATTTCTCATGGCTCGGATCTATTTATTTCTGGACAAGGGGTTGGGAAGAAAACAAACTTGCTCCAAAGAAAGGCACTTTGGGTCTTTGAAGCAGAACTGAAATGAAGAGGACAATGCATAATTTGATGTGGATGCTAAAAAGCCTGAGGAGACTGTTAGGGACTAGGTTGGGATAGGAAAACATTATGATACAAAGGTTGAAGTCATTGAAGAAGGCAGAAATATATTCTAAATGTCAGGAGATAATATAACAAGTATACAGCAAATAATGTAGCTTTCAATTAAAATAAAAGAAAAGAATAATTTGGAAGCAACTCTTAGGTAATAAGGACTGATCCCTCTTCTCAAAGAGAACTCAGAGAGGAGGGCAGGTATACCTTCTGGGCAAAGGGTTAACAGGTAGAAAACACCAGGTTGAGATAAGGCAAGGAAGCAGAAAGAGCACATGGAAAAGATCCAGAGGAGGGTTCTTAGCAGGGTCCATCCAAAAAACGTTGAAACTGTGAGTAATGTTTTGCATTATGTGATTTTTCTGGGGAATATGTTCAGAACTTGCATCAAATTTTCAAGTGTGTCTGTGATTTTGTAAACATTAAGAACTTTATCTAGATCACTGTAAAAAACTCAAATGCTTGTAAGGGTCATGCAGTTAGCATACATACATGATGCAGGCTAGGTCCATGCACTGCTATGATGCATAACTTGTACCTAATTACACTGCTTATTAGAATATTTGCAGGCACAACAAAATCCAAACAGCAAAACAGTAGAAGGGCAGTGTGCAGCCCATGGCAACCAACTTGTGATGTGTCATCTCTCTGGAGGAACATGGCCCCAAAAGACAGGAGGATTCAGAGGGCAGAGTACAGGGGAAAAAATCATGAATGGGAGATAGAAAAACTGCAAAAGCATAATAAAAAAGGATTTTTGAAGAAAATAATGGAGATTAAAGTATAGAATGATTACACAAGGCTAAACACAATTTTTCAACAATTAGACTAGTACTTCCATTTCTTGACATTTAATTCTTATTCTGTTCATAAATATTTATATCCTAAGCTCCATCCCCCTCTTTCTCAAATAACTATCTTTGGTACCACAGCTTATTTACATACTTGATCAAATATAAATAGAACTCCTCTCTTCTTACTTTAAGAGCCAATTAAAATATCCAGGTCACTTACCTCATTAAAACTGTCCCACAGATCATCACTTTGAATGGATGCATAGCTATGATTATGCAGGTAAAGAACAAGAGCACGCCGAAATACATCTTCACCAAGATAAGTTTTCAGCATCAACAAGAGAGAAGCTCCCTATTAAAAAAAAAAAAAATGAGAAAAGAAGGGAAATAGATTTATAAAATTGAAACTCTTAAGTTCAAAATATAATAAATCTAAGCATATACTTTCATATACAGAGCCTAGTTATAACACACTGTTACTTAGTCTCATATAACCAGGTGTAGACTATGTTCAAGTTGTCTTAAAATCATATTAAAAGATTTGAAAAGAATTAATGGAGTAGATTGCCATGTGCACTAATGCTACTATGAGCCATTCTGTGTGGTCTATCAGTTACTTACTGTTTCAGTGTTAGTGTTAAAAAGCTAAGTGATTATAAATACATTTTTGATAGAAAAATATGTCAAATATTCTGTGGCATCCCCAATGTCTCAGGTACCAGTTCAATTCATGGGCAACTGCTGGGGACAATAAATCAGAAGAGCTCTCAAAAGTCTCTCTGCTAGGGAATCCATTAATTTCCAGTATTAGTATACCATGTTGCTAGAGTAAACAAGATTCCTCTTCTTCCTGCACAGTCATTTCCAATATTTGGAATGGATGAAAGTATAGGGTAGGAGGAATACACTAATAATTCAGAATCAGGCACACTATATTCACTGATACACATGTCCTCACACCCAATCTTTTTTAAAAAAATATGTTTTTATTGATTTTTTTTTTTTGAAATTTTTTTTATTTATTTATTTTTTTGTTACAGATATTTTACCTTTTTACCCCATTGGCACCCCCCACCCCACCCCCCCCTCCACCCTGTCCCCAGCTTAGTTGTCCATGTCCATTGGTCATGCATACATGCATATAAGTTCTGTGGTTTATCTCTTCCCACCCCCCCCACCCCCATCCCCTCTTCTGATTTTTTAGACGGAGAGAAAGGGAGAGAGAGAAACGTCGACTGGATGCCTCCTGCATGCCCCCTACTGGGGACTGAGCCCACAACCCGGGAATGTGCCCTGATTGGGAATTGAACTGGGACTCGAACTGGGACCCAAACTGAGACCTCTCAGTCCATGGGATGATGCTCAGTCCACTGAGCCACACTGGCTGAGCCTCACTCCCAGTCTTAAATCAACAACCATCTCCTCGGTGAAGCCTTCCCTGATTCAAGATAGAAATCATATTTTTCCTTCAAAAGCAATTCATATCACTTCTTTCATCTGCTATAGATATATTTTTATTTTCTTCTTCTAGACTGTGTGCTACTTGAGGGGAAAATTGAAAAAATTCAACTCCAGTGACTAAAACAATGCCTAGCACATAGTAAGCACTCAAACGGTGTTTGAATTTTACTTCTGATAAAAATGCAGCAATGTTAAGTCATTAAGATTACCATATACACATTAACTGAATTTAATATTATTGCTCTCCTCTGTGTTACTTGTTCTATAAATTTAAATACTCATTCCTTCACAACATTTCCCCTTCTCTCCTGAATTACCAACTTTCCTTCTCTAGTGTAACTTTCCTATTAAAGCCATAGACTATGTAACATTCCTCACTTTGAACAAATAAAATAGGCCCTTCCTTTCCTTAACCTCACGCTTCCCTATAGGTATCGCCCTATTTCTTTGTACTCAAATCCTCAAAATAGTTGCCTGCGTTTGCCATCTCCATTTGCTCTCTTTCCATTTTCTCTTGAGCCATCTTCCACTGGAATTGTTTTTTATCAAGGTTTCTTCAAGGTGAACTTACTTCATGGTATCAAATCAGTGTCAATTCTCAGGCTCAACTTATCAAGCACTAGTAAGTGGCTTTTGATATGACTGATCATCCACTCGTCCTTGAAAGTCCTTCTGCACTTGGCCTTGGAACACCACTCTAGATTTGTCCCCTATTCACTGGCTAAACCTTTCAGTCTCTTTTGCTGGTTCCTTCTCATCTTCCCAAGGGCTAAACTTTGATGTTCCCTGGCATTTAATCTTCAGACCTCTTGTCTTCTCTCTCCAAATTTTCTTCCTGGTCCATCTCAAATTGATATATCTAACCAGACTTCCCCTCTGAATTCCAGACTCATAGCCAACTGCCTGCTTGATATCTCAAAAACTGAATTTTTTAATTTTCTTCTTGCTCAAAATCTAGTCTTCCAATAATCTTCTCCAATGCAGCGAATAACAACTCAATTTTTTTGGTTGTTCAGGCCAAACTCTTGAAGTCATTCTTGACTCCTCTCTTATAGCCCATATCTAATGGTAGCATATTCTATGGGATTAACCTTTGCAATACATTCCATCTTCCTCCAAAAAAATGTATCTTCATAATCCCAGGCAAAAATGCTCTACCATTCATTTAGCACATATTATCTCTTATTTCTTCACAAGTACCCACCACCTAAACTTTGACATTTTTGATGACATGGAGTGTATCTCACATATTTTGTGTATTTTCTTCTTTAATACAGGAATTCAATTTATTAACCAATTAATCTGATAGCTAGAGTAAGGAGGAAAAGAATATTCATTTATCCCTCCCACGCAACACAAATGTGGGTGGCACAAATATCTATATTCTTCTGACCTAATTAGGTTTCAAGTTTTCTGTTTTTTGCTTCACCCCCAAATCGAGTATGTCTTTCTTTCTTTCTTTTTTTTAAATCCTCACGTGAGGATATTTTTTTCTATTGATTTTTTAAAGCAAGTGGAAGGGAGGGAGTGGGGGAGGGCAAGGGAGTAAAATATCAATGTTAGCGAGACACATCAATTGGTTGCCTTCCACACATGCCCCAATCAGGGCCAGGGATTGAACCTGCAACCCAGGTACGTGCCCTTGGCTGGGAATCGAATCCATAACCCTTCAGTGCATGGGCCAACACTCTAATCACTGAGCCATACTGGCCATGGCTGGAGTCTGTGTTTCTGATCCTACAATTTAATATTCAAGTTTTTTTAATTATTGGATTTTTTGGGAGTGACATTGGTTAATAAAACCATACACGTTTAAAGTGTACAACTCCATAATACATCTTCTGTACACTACATCTTATGCTCACCACCCAACTTCCTGCCACCATTTATCCCCTCTGTGTCCTCTTCTACTTCCTCCTACCCCATTTCTCTCTGGCAATCAACATACTGCTGTCTCTGTGTATTTTTTTTTTTCTTTTTACTTAATCCCTTCACTTTTTCTTTTTACTTAACCCCTTCACCCCAATCCCCCTCCCCTCTGACAGCTGTCAGATTGTTCTCTGTATCTATGAGTGTTTGTTTCGTTTGTTAATTTATTTTGTTCATTGGTTTCCATATACAAGGTGTGACAAAAGTTTACTGTTTTGAGTACGCAAAATGCATAATTTATTCTTGTATTATTTATTTAAGATAGTATTATTTTCCATACAAATAACTGTAAACCTACTTTTGTCATAGTCCGTATAAGTGAAGTCATATAGTATTTGTCTTTCTCTGACTAGCCTATTTCACTTAGCATAATACTCTCCGGGTCTATCCATGCTGTTGCAAAAGGTAAGATTTCCTTCATTTTTTTTATGGCTAAGTGTTACATTGTGTAAATGTACTACAGCTTTTTTATCCACTCATGTACTGATGGGTACTTGGATTGCTTCCAAAGCTTTGCTATTGTAAACAATGCTGCAGTGAACATACAGGTGCATATATTCTTTCAAATTAATGTTTAAAGTTTCTTTGGATATATTCCCACAAGTGGAATCGCTGGGTAGCTCCATTTTTAATTAAAAAAAAAAAAAACTCCACACTGGCTGCAACAACCTGCATTGCCACCAACAGTGCACAAGGATTCCCTTTTCTCTACTTCCTTGCCAACACTTGTTTGATTTATTGATAGCCATTCTGACAGGCGAGAAATGACATTTCATTGTGGTTTTAATTGGCATTTCTCCAATGATTAGTGACATCAAGCATCTTCTCATACTGGCCATTGGTATGTGTTCTTTGGAGAAGTTATCTTTTTTTTTTTTTTTTATCCTCACCTGAGGACATTTTCCCATTTTTTTGTTCAGGTAGAGTGGGAGGGAGAGAGAGAGAGAGAGAGAAACATCAACGCGAAAGGAACACATCAAGTGGCTGCCACCCGCACGACCAACCAGGGCCGGGGACAAATTGCAACCGAGGTACGTGCCCTTAGCGGGAACTGAACCCGGGTCTCTCAGGACCGCAGGTCGACGCTCTAACCGCTGAGCCAAACTCTATTCAGGTCCTTTGCCCATTTTTTTCTTTGGATATTTTGTTTTCCTGGTGTTGAGTTGTATAAGTTCTTTATACATTTTGAAAATTAACACTTAATCAGATGTATCACTGGTAAGTATATTCTCCTCTTCATGGTGTTGTCTTTTCATTTTGTTAATGGTTTTCCTTTGCTGTGCAAAAGCTCTCTAGCTTAACGTAGTCCCATTTCTTTATGTTTTTCTTTTGTTCTCCTTGCCCAAGACGATCTATCAGAAAAAATATTGCTATAAGAAATGTCTGTGATTTTCCCTGCCTATGTTTTCTTCTAGGATTTTTATGGTTTATTAGTCTTTAACCCATTTTGAGTTTATTTTTGTTTATGGTGTAAGGAGGTAGCCTAATTTCATTTTTTTACATGTATCTGTCCAAATTTCCCAACTCCATTTATTGAATAGGTTGTCTTTACTCCATTGTATGTACTTTCCTCCTTTGTCAAATATTAATTGACCATAAAGGTGTGGGTTTATTCCTGGGTTCTCTACTCTGTTTCATTTATCCATAAGCCAGTGCCACGCTGTTTTGATTCCTATGACCTTGTAGTATCGTTTGATATCACGTAGTGTGATACCTCCAACTTTGTTCTTCTTTCTCAAGATTGCTGAGGCTATTCAGGGTCTTTTGTGGTTCCATATAAATTTTTGTAATATTTGTTAAAGTTCTGAGATATATGCCATTGGTATTTTTAAATTTTAATCCTCACCCTAGGATGTTTTTTTCCATTGATTTTCTTAGAGAGTAGAAGAGAGGTGGGGAAGGAGAGGAAAAGATAGAATGAAAAACATCAATGTGAGAGAGACACATCAATCAGTTGCCTCC